TTGCTTCCTCTTACGTGGCTGAAATTAGGGGAGTTTTCCCTCCCTAATTACCTGGGTAATGGGTCCCAGCCTCTCTTTGATGTGTCATAAAGGCTCACCTGTTTCACTACAACCTGCTATTTATTATCAAACAATTGCAGTTTTCCAAATCCTGAATTTCCAAAGGTGCCATTTATCTAAATCACATGTGTGTCTCCTTTGCACCTATTCTGAAAAAGAATTTTCCTTGATCAAAATTTTAACCTTGATTACCCCCTGGTGCATCAGCGCTTTTATTACCTACTCCAAATTGAAATCCAGAGGACCACTAGTGTACATACTGCCTATTTAGGCATTTCTTTTAACTGTATTTTAACGATTATGGGTTAGGGTAAGAAAAGGTAGAAATCTTGTGAAAATGAAGATGCATCACAAAGTACTTGGACTGTGCCTAGTGCAAAATTAGAAAACTTATTTCCAGAATAGCTTTACTAAACAATTTGACTAAAACATCTCCAGGGAAATGCACAAAATAAAAACAGTGATTGCAGAAGATGTAGCGGGGTGTGTGCCTACAAGATACAGGGGGCTAGGAAGGGGCTAGAAAGCGGAAACCAGAAGCCTGGAAATTTTGGAAAATAAATCCGTGTCCTGCCAGCATGGTGATCATGAGTGATATATGGAGGGGAAATGCTCTAGCATTCTAAGGGGGACTTGCAGATTTTGAGGAATATGAGTCCTTGAGGAGGAGGGTCCTTGGCATGCCACTGTGGAAGGGAATTCAGTGTGGACAGGGCCTGGGCATGCCCTCAGAAGGGAGCCTGACAGGCCCTGGCAAGAGCAGTGCTCTCGGAGGCCAAAGCCAGCTTCGTCAGGGGCCCTAGGAGATTCTGAAGTTGGGTGCAAAAGCCCTATGTGAGCTTGGGGAGAATACCCACCTGAGTGGGCCCAAAAGGCTCCTACATGATGTGGGCAATAAGAACAACCCCATGAGCGTTGGAAACACACAGAAGAGCCCAGACTGGTCATTAGGAGAATGGGAGGGTCTGGAGTGAAGTCATACTCCTGGCTCCAAGGAAGAGCTGTGCATAAAGGGGCAACCTCAGGGAGCCCTGCTGGTGAGCAGACAGTGTATGATGTGGGACCTGCGGAATGCTGATGCCCAGGGACCTTGGGTGCTCTAGCAAGTTTGGGGAATTCTGTTGGTGCTGCTGTCAGGTTTGCTGCCAATCTATTCAGTGTCTTTGTGAGAAACAGAAAAAGATGTCTCCTCTCCCCTAGGTGGACACATCTCAGCTCCAGGACGCACAGATCATGAATGGGAGCATGGGCTAGGTTCCAGCTCCCACTTGCTCCAGTGGCCAGAACACTTTTTCAGTCCACAATCTGCCCAACTGCATGTAGAGGCCCTGGATAGATTGAGAATTTTCTTTTGGATAAAACCTAAGATTGTGCCTACATACATGAAACTATATGGAGAGAGTTAGATCCTATTTAGCAGAAAGACTGTAAAGATTGTATTTGTAGATAAAAGAGTTCTTTTAAAGGATGTAAACTAATAAGAAATATAGAGATAACAAGAGGTAGTAGACTTGACCTGAACCCTCCAACTTCTGCAAGTGTCTGTCAATGGGGAGAATAGTGTCCTGGTCCCTCTCCCAGCCTGACTGCCTATAGAAATGGTCGCATGCCTGTGCAACCATAGGCAAGTTAATTAGGCCCTCTGTGCATCAGTCTCTTCATCCTGGAGTTGTGGTGAAGCTTAAAAATGTTGATACATGTAAAGCTTAGAACCGGGCCTGGCATTCAGTATTCACTCCACAAGTGTTAGCTATTTTTATTATTTGTACCATTCACATGTTAATGACAACATTAAAGCTGGATGGGGCCATAGAGGTTATCTGGGAAATATTTATGCAGAAAATAGCTTTCCAGCTGGGCCTTGGAAAATGGATAGGATTTCAATAGGTAGAGAAAATAAGGCAAAGACGTTCTAGGCACTGGGAATCAAGGTGGAAAGTGCCAGGCCCCACTCAAGCGTGGTGAGCACATCTATTTGGCAGAAACTGAATGGCATGTGGAGGAGAGGAATGGCAAACAAGCCTGAGAGCTAAACTGAGAGCACAGAATAAGGCATGCAGAATTCATTCTTCTCTCTCTCTCCTCAGCCGTGAAAATCAAGCAAGATCTAACTTGCAACCCTCTGCAATCTGGCTCCCACTCAGAAATCTCTTTTCTCCAAGGTCTTCTAACACAGTGCTTCTAAAACTTGCAAGTGTAGACCCTGACAACCCTGCACATCTCCACGTGGGCATGGAGGCAGGCTTGACCACAGTCTGACCTGAGTTTTGGCAAAACGCCCTGTGATTTCTCCTAGCCTAAGGAAAGATAAGCAGCCTGGTGAGGAGCTGCGGAGAGGCAGTTTCTCCCTTTATCTTGTGGAAGACTGCCACAAGGCCATTTCTCAGCTATCTCCCACTTTCAGTTGAGCACAGAACTTTCCACCTCACTCCCACTTAGGGTAAACCTGCAAACTTCAGCGTAAGTCTGTAAAACTGCCTGCTTGGCTGTGGTTTGGAGGTGGCTCCTCCACAGCAGAGTGACCCACTACTCATACCATCTATCATCTGGCCTCTGTAGTTTGGTATTGTCTGTGGAACCAGGGATACAGTGAAGTGAAACCATAATGACTTGTCTTTGCTGTCTTGCGTAACCAACTGACTGTCTGAATCCACTTGGGCACGTTTACTCCTTACCGGGCAAAACCGTGGAAGTATGGCAAGCCATCCTAACAGCTGTAGGAGCATTAGTTGTGATCCTATTATTAGCCACCATCCTGCTGCCAGGGGAATGCTTAACCGTTTGACAAAGAGACAAGTAAGAGACGGCAAGAATTCACTTCCTGGGTTCTTCACAGCACACCAGCTCTTGATTCCAGTTCCAGGAATGCATCCTAGACCTTGAATTCCAGGAGATATCCTAGAATTTCCCCAACAAACCTCCCCAGGTTCTTTTTTTCCCCCTAGAAAAGTCAGCATGTATTTTTAACCTTTACCATCAAAAGGTCATATAATACACACACACAGAGCTGTTACATTTGATGACAGCAGTATCAGCAATCAGAACTCCAAAGCTAGAGATTCAAATGCATTTTCTGTATTTATTAAAATTCTGCCTCTCGTGTATATTGATTTCTTTTTGGCCCTTGACCTACTATATGTAATATGATTAGCTTTCCCTTATTAAAGTTTGATAAGTATAAAGTTTTATGAAAATGTTATTGGCCAAGTGGAAGAAAACAGAACTTTTGTGATGATGACAGTATAAATTACTCATCATTTATCAATAATTCCATAGTACTGAACATATAACTCAACTATGCTGTTTAATTTATCTTTTAACATCCCTTGCGTTTGGTTCTAACGCAGAGAATGACCATCTAAGCCAACATACAGATGCTTATGAGTCATTAGTCATAGGCGGGGCTGTTCATCAACTAGCCTCACTTCCCTATTAGGCCAGCGAGTTTTCTCTGATCACAGTAGTGGACTCTGAATCAAGTGAGTCAGGGACAGCTGGCAGAGTGTTGGACATTGCAGAATTTGACCAAAATAGTGAATTGGTGTGAATTCATCATCATTATTGGTAAACAACTACAGAAGTAGACAGTGGGGCCACTGACATCATAATCATGCACCTAAGAAATGAATGCCTCGATTGCCATAGTAATGACATATCATCTGAAGAAAGTTAACAAATTGTAAGTGATATATCTGGCTGCTTGTGGTACCCCTGAGATGTAAGTAGTTCATGACATAATGATAACTAGTCATAATTTATAGTAGTCCCTTATAAAAAGTCTAAATGTGAAAATAAATTTTACTACTCAAAGCTAAACATTGGACATCTAGTCATTGTCTGAACATGATTTAGTAGAGTTACCATACTATATTTATTAAGAGAAAATCTCCATTTATAAAAATGTTTTATTATGAGTAAATTATAGTACAGTCAGACCTAGGTATCGGTGGATTCAACCAACACCCTATGTAAAGGCCTCAGATAGTTGTGTCTGTACTGCACATGTACAGACTTTCTTGCCATTATTTCCTAAACAATGCAGTATAACAACTATTTCCATAGCATTTACACTATATTAGGTATTATATGTAATCTAGAGATGAACCAAAGTATATGGGAGGATTGTGCACAAGTTACATTACACCTTTTTCTACAAGGGACTCGAGTATCCGCGGATTTTGGTATCCGCGGGGATCCTGGAACCCATTCCCCGCAGATACCGAGGGACGACTGTAATTATTTCACCCATTTACAATAAAAATGCATCACAGTATGTAAAGGCAAATTTTAAACCAACTTGTAATTTATGTTTTAAAATACGTGCACATAACATCATCTCTTGGGTTAGTACCTCTCCAGCCACATTTAACAGTAATTATTTCCAAGACGAGTTTTGAGATTTTTTCCTAAAGTTTTTTCCCACGGCGTAACTCTCCGTAAATCACTGTGAGCCCATTCTACCGCGGGTGTGCATCCGTGTTACACCTGCGCTCGCTCTCCCCGCGCCTCGGTAGGGCGCCCGCGGCCCCAGGCGCGCCCGGCCCGCACCGGGAGCCCGCGGAGGCCGGGGGAGGCGGGAGTTCCGGGAGCTCGGAGGGGCTCGGGGAGGAAGAGGCTACAAGTGATAGCAAAGCTAAGGCTCACAGAAGCCGCACCGTTGTCCAGGAAGATAGCGGGTCAGGCACGAAGGGCTCCAAGTCGCCGGCCGTGGACTGCCTGCCTGCCTGCCTGCCTTCCAGCCTAGGAGCCGAGGAGGCCGGACCCGGGCGCCCGCGCGGCGCTTCCGCTGGGACACCCCGGGGCTCGCGCTCGGCGGGCCGGGCTGTCGGCCGGGCGCGGGAGGAATGGGAGGGAGACGGGAGCTGGGCTGGGAGCCCCGCCCCAGGGACGCGCTGGGGACCGCGACGGGGGAGCCCCCGGCCCCGGCGGGGCAGCCTTACCAGCGGAGCCGCCGGCCACGATCTGCCGAGACGCCTCGCTCGCGAAGCCGACGGCAGGCTTGGCTGACATCTTCGGCCGCCGGCGGGCGCGGAGCGGGCGGAGCGAGGCGGCCGAGCGCCGGGCCTGGAGGGCGGCCTGCAGAGCCCCTCCCGAGCGAGAGGGCCGGGCGGGCCGCGGGCGAGGCCGCGGGGGGCGGCGGCTCCCGGGGCTCCAGGAGGGCCCCCAGCGGAGGACCGGCTCGCCGAGGGGTGGCGGCCGGGCGGGTTTGGTCTCCTAGATTGGCGCCCGGCGCTCCCCTATCGGGAGCCTCCTGCCACTCGCCCGGCAGCCGCGCGGCGCGATAACGCGGGACTGAGTGCCGGCTGAGACCGGCGGGCCGCGCGACCCTTGCCCTTCCCGCAGGCCCGGGCCCGGGGCCGTTCCAAAGGGTCAGGCGGACACATTCCGCGGAGCTAGTCGGCCTGAAAACGTGGGCCGGTGCCACGAAGGCACAGCGAAGCCGACTGACGGTTACCTTCCAACTGAGCTAATGCGGTCCTCTCCCAAGGAAGGGAATCCATCTCCTACCTCATCAACTGCAAGTTTTATTTGCCGAAAGACCCCAAAAAAGGGAAGAGGCCTTATTACAAATAAGGCTCTTCGCTAGGCCAGGTCAGTAGTACCCAAAGTCTGATCTTGGAACCCAGCAGCGTCAGTGTCTGCGGGAGTTTGTAAGAAAGCGCCCCAGTCCCCTCCTGAATCGGGGTCTCCGGATAGGGCCCAGACACCTGCGCTTAGTAAGTTCTGAGTGATGGTTGTGAACGTTAAAGTTTGGGAACCACTGATCCAAATAATCAAGGAACATTACGGAACGACCAGTATATTCTCTCTATAAAACCTTTCATTATGCATACTAGCCCTTTAGGATAGTCGGCAAAACGGAAATATCTTTAAACCACAAGTTTCAAATGATATGTAGGAGAGAGACAAGATTGTGAAATTAAAAAAAAAAAAAATACCTGGTACACCCCTAACAGGCAGGAGATGACAGAAGTAAAAGGGAGAATGAGAGGCTTAGAACCCCTATTGTCATATTAGTTCCTAAACACGGTGTTTCACACTAAATATATTCAGTTTGAACCATATAAAACTGTTTTTTTTAAAGATTGGTGCCTGAGCTAACTGTTGCCAATCTTTTTTTTTCCTGCTTTTTCTCCCCAAATCCCCCCAATACATAGTTGTATATTTTAGTTGTGGGTCCTTCTAGTTGTGGCATGTGGGACGCCGCCTCAGCGTGGCCTGATGAGCGGTGCCATGTCCACGCCCAGGATCCGAACCAGCGAAATCCTGGCGCTCCCCTCTCCACCCCCAAGTGGAGCTGGGGAACTTAACAATTTAACCACTCTCTACCAGGCGGCCCTAAAACTGCCATTTTTGAAGGCCAAAAACCGTTCAATGTAAGCAGTGTAATATGGTTCAACTTAATATATATGCTTTCCAATTAAATGTACTAAATACAATAATTGGTTTCATACTTTGTCTTTATTTCTTAGGCTGAGGTATTAAAAGCTATTAATAGTGATATTTGGCAAAATTATTTAAAGTGTTTAAGGAATTGGGGATACTTCCTGCTTATGGGATCAGAGATGCAAAAATAAAGTTTCTCAGTAAAGTTGGCCGTCAGCCAACCCAACTCCATCAGCGAGTCTTTTCTCTTCCTAGGTCCCTCCTGGAGCCCAGAGCTTTTGAGCAAAGTTTCAGTCTTTTACTAATTAAATATGAAGTCTTGAGTGCAATACAGAATCCCCTATTCATTTAACAAATATTCAGAACCTATTATATACTAAGCCCTAAAATCAAAATTTCAGAGCTCATAGAAAACACTTTCTTAATTTTCCAGCGAGGAAACTGAGTTTCCTAAGATCATACCACTAGTTAACAGTATGGCTGGGATTTGATTCCAGGATTCTACCTTCTAATAGCAATCGGAATGTGGATTTAAATATTAACCACAGGCCCAACTACATTCTGTCACACAGAAAGCTAAAATAATTAAACGCCCCCTAAAATTAATTTCATTTATTCATATTTAAGTAGAGAATTTTTTAAGTTAAAAAAATTGTCACAACTATTAAAGCCCAAGGCACACACTGAACCAAATTCTACATTCATCGAGAGCTTGCTAAGTGTCACGCTTTCTTAGACCTTGTCAATGTGATAGTTAAAATCCCTAGAGGAGTGTATCATCTAATGAGGAGAGTCTACCATCTTGCAATGTAAGTAAAATTTTGCCTTCCCTAGATTATTGCAGGAAATACAGCAAGACTCCCAGGTCAAGATTCAAAGACAGCCTTTTGACATCATCATTTCCATGGGTCCATTAATCTCTAACTGTCTTATCCTGAGGAGGTGGGTGCAGGTTTGTGGTCTCACTAAGACCTCAGTCTCTCAAGACCCCTATAGATTCAGTCAGAAGACTCTCCCAGACATCCTTCCAAATACTGTTAGAAAATTGCTAACACTTTTTAACTTCTCTGGACTAGAACAGATTTCTTCGAGTAAAAAAAGCAAGTTCTGATATCACATTTAATCCAGTCCTACGCCTGTAGAATAGTTGAGGAGATAGGACCTAGGTATAAAAACATTCTGGAGCTTGAGAGTCAGCCAGTGTCAACCCAGAGTCAAAAACCCACTATCCCATGAGCTCTGATTATGGAATATCTCTCTTATCTGCAGCCAATTTGCTGTGACCAGTATTGGCATGCTCAGAGGTTTAACACTGGGGGAAAAAATGGTAAAATTCACATTACCTACTATTTCAGATTCCCTAGACTTAGTCCATCACATTACTCTTTCTATTATTATTTTATATAATACTGTAATGTCCTGATATTACAGCAAAATTGCTAAAGCATCAAGCTTATATTTTTAAATTATTGACTTATTTAACTGATTTTGGTTCAGAACTACGTAAGTAAATTATTGATTTATCAATCACTTTGCAGAGTGGCTGGAAACTAAACCTTCAGGAACCTTAAAATGTTCACTGAACTTAAATATCTCACAATTTCTTCAATGTATTTTTGGAGTAAAGTTTTTCTATTGGGCCATTGGATCAGCTACTGTTCAAGACCAAAATAATAGTGGCTTAAATAAGATAGAAATATATTTCTCCCCCCTGCCATGTAATAATCCAGTTGTGAGCCATGAATAAGGCTCTAGCCAGCAGAGAGGGAGAAAGGTAAGAAGGGTAAAGAAAGCCCTGGAAATGACACAAATCTCATTGGTCAGAATTTGACCACAAGGGCTGTACCTAGGTAGAAGGGACTTTGGGAAAGGTAGTATTTTGCTGGGTGGCAATGTGCCCAGCCAAAAAAAAATCTCTATGGAAGAAGGGGAAAACATATTGGGAAACAACTAGCAGTGTCTGCCATGGTTTGGGGAAAAGTTTAGGAATGAAGAGCTATGCTTTAAAATGACAGCATGTGCTCATTTTGAAAGATTTTGTTTTCCTCAAGTCTACAGTTTATCCTCATCTGTGTCTAACTAGAAAATGCAGTATAATCCCATGGTACCCACTGTACTATGACGGGAACCACATTTTAAAATACCATTCACTGAAAGATACGTAACCATCGTAGGCCCAGAGGTTCTTTTCTTTAGATGTCAAAACACACTCTCTACACACACACAGACGTACCAATGCAGCATTTGGAGCCCATCCATGGAATAGGGTGGGAAGCTGAGAAGAGTGGTCGAGGGACACCAGATTATGATCTTGACCAAGAGAAGAGATCATAACTCTTGGACTATTCAAAAGGCCTATTACTTATAATATTCTTATGCAGACGTATTAGACATATTAAACAAATGCTTTTTCAAGTGTCGGACTCTTATGTGCTTTAAAAGCTATGGGCCTGTGTATTACTGCTCTAATATCTCTGTGGCTTAGAAATACCAAGGCATTATGTTATTATTTAGGACAGATCCTGGTTCTGGTACATTAGATTATACTATCACCTAATAGAGCATTTCTAAATTCCTAGGGACTTTACTGGGCAGCGTGAGCAAAATAATTACAGATGGTCTCAACTTACAACCGTTTGACTTATGAGTTTCTGATTTTACAATGGTGTGAAAGGGATATGTATTGAGTAGAAACCGCACTTTGGATTTTGAATTTTTACGTTTTCCCAAGCTAGTGATATGTGGTACGATGCTCTCTTGTGATGCGGGGCAGCAGAAGTGAGCTGCAGCTGCCAGTCAGCCCTGGGGTCAACAGAGCAAACAACCCATACCCTTACAACCGTTCTGTACCCATCCAACCATTCTTTTTTTCACTCTCAGTATAGTCTTCAATAAATTACTTGAGCTATTCAGCACTTTACTATAAAATAAGCTTTGTATTAGATGATTTTGTGCAATTGTAGGCTAAGGAAAGTGTCCTGAGCACATTTAAGGTAGGCTAGGCCAAGCTATGATGTTCAGTAGGCTAGGTGTATTAAATGCATTTTCGACTTAGCGATATTTTCAACTTATGATGGGTTTATCAGCACGTAACCCATTGTAAGATGAGGAAGATCTGTACTCAGAAAACTTTTTCAATATTTTATTGTGATATCATAGGAACAACACTTAGAGACATTTATGTGACAGAGTTCTGTTATTTGGGACATACCTGGGAATCGAGGAATTAAGGCCTCTGAGCAGTCAAGATGCAGAAATCCACACACTTTCCTCCTAGGAGCTTCCCAGGCCTTCACTTTGAACTAATTTTAGACCCATTTCTAAAAAGGTTGGTAGGGTGGATAACTAGCACCTTGGTTCACAGTGGATTGGAAAGAACGCATTAAAAGAGAATAGGGGAGGGGGAAATCAGGAAGCTTCTAGAAAAGTGAAGAGCAATCTGCAACCTTCAGGCCATATTAAGCCTTCCTAGCAAATTATAATAATTACAACATTCATTTAATGCTTACCTCATGCCAGGCTCCGGGCTAAGCATTTTGTAACCCATTATCTCATTCACAATATCCCTATTACAGAGAGATTCTTGTCCTCATCTTACAAATGGGGTAACTGGCACAGAGGTTAAGTAACTT